ATATATATATAATATGCATATCATATATATTATACTGGGCGGCCTAAATCTACCGATTTTTTCGATAGATACCAATTTGGGACCTGTTCTACCGCCATACTGATAAGATGTCAAAACTACCGGATTTGCGATGGGTGCCGAAAGAAGAAAAAAAAAAACATTCTGCAATGCTTCCTTTCTTCTTTGTTTTCAATCCGTACATTCTGAATGTTCCGTACTTGCTGCATCACCATATCACCTCCATACGAGAGAGAGAGAGAGAGAGAGAGAGAGAGAGAGAGAGAGAGAGAGAGAGAGCAGCACTTGCCTCCGTACCTAGTCAGATTTTTACGGCCCGGCGATAAGTTGTATTAGTAACTGCCAGATTGCACATTTCGTACACTCGACCTTTGTCTATCTGTGCCGTTCTGTCGGCAATAGTTTTTCAGGTGCATATCGGCTAAAATCGGTCTACTCGCGATAGATAATCTTACTCCTTCCTTTCATTCATTCTTTCTTTCTGTTTATCTTCGGGTTTTTTGCTGCGGCTGGAATATCTGTGCATTTAATTCATTTATCTCGAAAACAGAATTGTGAATGCAGAAAGAAAATATGTATCGAAGCAAAGCATTCTAAAATATGTCTTGGTCTAGAGAAAAGGTCAGTACCAAATGAGGATTCTACGCAGGGGGACTGCGGGAATCTGAAAATAAAAATCGCTGAGACCCGAGAAAATGCACAAAGTCCTCGAAACCGTATCTGAGTTCATTTTTTACCGGTCGCGTTTGTGATATTATTACGTTCGGCTTTCCCCAGTCCGAGAGTACGTTTCACGTGAATTAGCGGCTATGGCGGCAGGCGGAAGTGTAGGTTTAATACAGAGACTCCATCGGGAAAATCAAAAGCTTCTTCCGCTTTCGTTACCGCTCAGAATTGTCCGGTGATAGATGTTTGTTAACGTTAGATTTACATTTAATAAACATTTGTAACATGCAGTTTGTGCATAAAAAACACAGTGTCGCCATACAAATTAAATCGATATTCTTACTGATGTCACTGTAATTACGAAAAAAAAGGGGGAAAAAAGAAAAAAAGCTCCCTTCGATTTCTAGATCTAGATTGTCGGGCCCGTCATGATGACCAGTCAGTGAACCTGTGCGAGTTCGCATCTTGTGAGTGCGGCATGAGTAAGGGACCGGCCGACGGTTGCTGGGGTAACCAAAGTTCATTCAAAGTAGGAGCGTTGCTGCAGGGCTTCAGAATTGAGGGGAGGTGTTTGACGCAATAAAGTCTACATCAGCAGGATGAGGCCGCGGTGCAAGAAACTGATGCTAAAATAAAAACGATAAGTGGAAGTGGTTTGGATATTCGACAATCGAGTGCGCAAAAGAGGGAACATTAGAGCACAGGCTTGATGATTGTATCTTCAAGGTTGGCGTTCTCGGATTTGTCAGTGATAACATTGAATAGTGGCAATGAGGAAATGCCATTTATTAAACCCTCGGAAAGCTCTATGTTGGATGCCTATGCATCCTGATGGCTTGATGCTGATTAAAAACTGATACTGTGATTTAGCATTTTGAAAAAAAATAATACTTAGTCCATGATGCAGTGATTCACTGATTGCCAGGTTTTCAGCATCACTACATCTCACGCTCTCATAGTCCATCCAGCTCCGGCGGTCAGTACACGCTCTCTTCTATTTTCACTTTTTGCTCTGCCGTAAGCCTAACTATAAAGGTTTTATAAATACGTTTTGTCTTGCATGCTTTTTAAAAACCGTGATTGCTGAAACCATACATGGTTTTGGCAGTTGATGTTCGTCCGTCATACTTAAGTCACAAAGGACTAATCAGTGCCAGTCAGGAAATATGTTTTAATATAGTTTCTATTGGTATGGGCTAGCGGTTTTGAAGTCAGTTTGGCAGTCACTCTGCACTCAATTCCAGATTCAATACTGAATGATAGGTGCCTTGAACGATAGTCCATACATGCTTTTTTTTAAATCTCACCTAATAACACACACATTGTTCATCGTAACTTGTGCACACCCAAACACCCCCTTCCTCTCCCCACATATATAAACACACACGAGAGCATACGCACGAGCACACACACAGACATACATACACATACACACACACAAACACACACACACACACACACACACACACACACACACACACACGCGCGCGCGCGCGCGCGCGCGCGCGCTCACACACATATGTGCATGCAAAAAAAAGTTTTCAAAATCTAATTACCCAATATCATGGAAAACAAACGCGTTCAATGGGGCAACGATCATCTTTTTTTCCTTCTTTGTCTTTGTACTACCTGATTTGGGGCCAAACTACAGGAAACTGACCCTGAATCTACCTGAAATGGGAACTTTGAGGTGGGCAGCCAAGTATATACATACTATGTGGGTATGTCTGTGTGTGCGTGCGTATGTGTGGGGGGGGCAAAGGTCAACCTTAGTGCTGCTATTATAATGACAGCAGATGCTACTACCTGCAGCTGTTCCTACTGTCTAGTAGGTGCATGCAGGAGTATGAAAGGCTAAGGGAGTAAACCCTTTAAAAATCAGGAGAAGGACCCCTCAGGCAGTTGACAACAGGAAGGAATGATCCGAACTATCTTCTGGCAGCCTCTGCAACTTTACTGGCACCAAATGTATTGACCTCGTCGCTCCATCAAACTAAATCAGCAAAGTCGAGAGGGGGGTCGTGCAAATTGAGCAAGGCACGTTCTCCATACAGTCAATCCCAGGCATTTAGCTTATTCAAGTAGGCTTTCGATACAGTCAGTAGATCACGACTGTACGTTGTGTTTGGAAAGATTTGCAGTCCCCCAATACTGCTACAGCTCATCCATTGCATTCCATGAAGATATGAAGGCCACTATTCAGTTCGACGGATTAACATTAAACAGCTTCAACATCAATAGCAATGTAAATAAATGGGGTATCTTAGCGACTCCTTTATGCACTTATTGCGCTGTCTTACTGCAATACGCATTCAAAGAGTCACCAGGAAATACCTTCCTCCCCTGGAGAACTGATGGGTCGCTCTCAATTTTGCTCTACTCCGGGCCAAAACCTAGATCAACAAAACAACAATACGAGACCTTCTCTTCGCAAATGCTACTGCTCTTGTTGCTCCCAGTGAATCAACCCTACAAACAATGATGGACCGCCTATCAACAGCATACAAGATCTTCAACTTAGTCATCAATGTTAAGAAAACAGTCATCCTTACTCACTCAGGAAGGTGCGGAGCAGAGCCATATTTGACTGAACAACAAGGAACCTGAGACAGTGGAGGTCTATCATCAGCTCTACTATTTTCACTTGTTGATGAGATCAACATCAGGATAGGGAAAGCAGCAACAACTTTTGGAAGGCTGACAAAACGAGCATGGGAAAACAAAAGATTAACCATGAAAAAAAAATAAACATTTGTGAAGCCTGTCACCTCAGCACACTCCTTTATGGATCTGAAACATGGAGTTGGTGTCTGAATCTGAGAAGAAATAGTTGAAGACGGGAAAACACCGAGAAAAATGATAAAGGAAAGAACTAAAATGCAAGACGGTAGCCTCGGAAACAACATGAGAAGTGCCAACGACGAAAGGAAAACAGCGGAAATACAGAGCTTCAATCTATGACACTGACATGCAAGCACTGCGACAGAATCTACGCTCCAAACCAAGGAAGAATTAGCCATGAAAGAAACTACAGGAAGACAACCTTGAGAGCACCTTAAGCTAAATTGACCGTTTGCATAAACGAAAAGAACCAAGAGCAATACATATAT